AATCAACAGTTGTGATCACCAAGCCCACTCTATGAAGGGCCATGCTGGCTGCTGGTACATGTTGTTGTCACCAACAACAATCAGCAGTTGTTATCACCAACCCTGCCAGATCCTGTGGTTAACCACAAACATCAGTAGTGCTAAGGGGTGCTATGATACAGTGATCTGCAGTGTATGCAGAAGCACATCAGAGAAGTAGATGGCTATTACTGAACTGAGAACTAAAGGAACATCAAAAAATGAGCATAACCTAGAACTGGCAAAAGACTGGGTGTGTTCCCAGAATACACTAGACTAGGTCAATGTGCTTGGACCTCAGGCACAAAGTAAGTTCACAAATCCAGGGACAAGCCAAACTGGGCAAGGCCCTGTGGTCACATGTAGATGCTAGAATTTACAGGGCAGTGGGAGGCCCAAAAAGTATTGAGCAGGAATGGGGAGGGACAACCTAGGTGTATTGAGAAATAATGTGGGGACTGGGTGGCTTCCAGTGCAGGCCAGGTGGAAGGTGATGACAATATCCTGGCAGGAGGCTTGAGGGTCTGGAGGAGGGAGTGGTAGACTGGTGGTGATGACAAAAGAAAAAGAAATTTTGGAAATGACTCCTCGTGACTTCATGACCCATAGGCCGTGAAGAGAAAGTAAGATGTTAAACATGACTCCACAATCTCTGAACATCTCTTTATTGAAGAAGGTATTTCCAGGAAGGGGGAGCAGGAAGAGAGGCATGGCTGATATAATCAGCTCCCTTTAGGTCATGAGGATATGTCACACCAGCAATTGGTAGAATAACCTGGGACCCAGAAGAAAGTTCTGAGCTGGAGAGGTAACTCTGGGACCTGCACAGATTTTTTAACTGGGACTTAAAGTTATGGGAATTGAGACCACCTACCCTACAAGAGCTGATTTAAAAAGGAATATTTCTCAGGGTTGAGCTTTCAAGAACACTAACATTTAAAGATTAGGTGGAGAAGGAAATACTAAGAACCAGGAAGATAGATGGGAAAGGGATGGTCATTGAGCTGGGCAGAAACTTAAAAGCCATGACACTCCTGAAAACAAGGGAGAATAATGCTTAAA